GTCAAGCCCTATTTTTATCATCATAACAGTCCCGCAAGGCAGCTTAGGGTGAGAAATAATGACTGAACCATGGTCTCCCTCGTCCTGTTTCCAGATGAACACGATTCCTTTGTTGCTGCCTACAGGTTGTTGTTGTTCTGTTTTTACAAGCTGCATTGGCTGCTGGAAGAGGGAGTTGTAGAGCCATCAGGCTGGCTAAGTAGAGTGTCAGTCCCAAATCAAGTAAACCCACAGAAATCCATGGAATTTACATGACCAAGTCTCATTCATTTCATTGGGTCTGCTTGAAATGTAGTACTTGTTGGGATTAACCCACTATTTTCTTATCTATCATAATACTTCTGGTTTGGAAAAGATCGAGAGATGAGACTAAGACGCCTTCCAGGAATAAGCTTTCCTGAAAATGTCCAGAGACACCGGGAGGTGGAGGTGATTCTCAGATTCCCTGACAAAGTGGTATCCCCAGAAATACAGAAAATATGTCTTGAGTTCCAATGGCTTCTTTCTTCTCTCCTTCTTCAGATTGTCCCTGGAAAGCTTCTGGTACCTTCTGTCTTGAAGAGTGACTCAGGAGCCTATGTTTGTGTGGCCACCAATCAAGTAGGAGAGAGAGCCAGCCGAGCAGCCCTGGTCACTGTCTTGGGTGAGAAGATCAGTAGCGAATGTACCTCACATCTTTTCTCCATGTGTTTTGTGACCGGCTGGCCTCCCGTAGCCATCGGGAGAGATTGTTCTTGCTGTTCTGGTGTACAGCTACCACAATTCCTCAGCCAGCATGGCGTGCTGGAAATTGGAGCTAAGATGAGAAAAGCCAATTCACTTCAAAATATAACTAATCAGCAAAGTCTGCACCCATGAGCTTTACCTCATTATATAAAGGCTTGAAGTCCTTGTTGAGGGAATTTGTTACTTTTATAGCCCTTATGTTCACTGGTGAGTTCCCAGTGTTGCATATGACCTGCATATATTTTATCCTAAGAATGATTCTGGGCTCAATCACACGTACCAAAAGAACCCTAGTTATACCGATTCTTTTCATCCTTTTCTGGAATCGATACATTTTACATGCGGTCAAGTGGTATATATATTAGTGGGTGTATTCACATGGTTTTGAATCGAATAGTTTAATTTCCAGGTGTTTGAACTGCTTTAGTAGACTACATTGCTTATATATTTTAAATCAATTCAGTTTTTGTGCTGTTCAGTTTTAAGACTGCCCCTGGCCCTCCCCACCTTTTAAAAATTTGCAAGTGATATATCGATAAAGCAGAATGAGCATTGTAACTTATTCTGCTTTCACCGTTTTTGTGACTTCTGGAAAATAAATATATTGTTCCCCATGGTCACTGCTCCAGATCCATCACTGTGCAGTCATCTGGACAGTAGGTGGAGTGCTGTTCCACCCAAGAAGTTGCCGTAGAAAGACGTGGGGCTCGCATGTGAATACAGTTAAATATAGAGAACAATGAAACAATACAGCTGTATTATTCTTGTCTGTTCTTCATGTACACCGTTGTTGCTGTTTTCAATGTACCTGGATATTTGTTGCGCAAATACAATGAAAGCCTTGTGTCTCCCTAGAGCAGTGGTGTCGAACTGTGGCCCTCCAGATGTTCTTGGACTTCAACTCCCAGAAGCCTTCACCACCACCTCTGCTGGCCAGGATTTCTGGGAGTTGAAGGCCAAGAACATCTGGAGGGC